CGCCCATATATAGCTTATGCAGTAAGTAAATTAAGTAGATATACGAGTAATCCGGGAGTAGAATACTGGAAAGCAATTATAAGGGTTCTAAGATATCTTCGATTTACTCGTAACATTGGGCTTAATTATACTAGATATCCAGCAGTACTTGAAGGATACTGTGATGCAAATTGGATATCGGATACTAAAGACTCGAAATCCACCAGTGGGTATGTCTTTACTCTTGGTAGTGCGGCTGTATCTTGAAAATCTTCCAAATAGACTTGTATTGCTAGGTCTACTATGGAATCTGAATTCATAGCTTTAGACAAAGTAGGGGAAAAGGCAGAATGGTTTCGCTACTTCCTTGAAGATATTCCAATTTGGCCAAAACCGGTGCCTGCTATATGCATACATTGTGAGAGTCAATCAGCTATAGGTAGAGCACAGAGTCATATGTATAACGGTAAGTCACGACACATTCGTCGTCGACATAACACCGTAAGACAATTACTTTCTAATGAAATTATTTCCATAGAATATGTTAAGTCTAAAGACAACATAGCGGATCCACTAACCAAAGGGTTAGCAAGAGAGTTAGTTGAGAATTCATCGAGGGGAATGGGACTTAAGCCTATTAAATAAGAGTTACCACAACGGCAACCCAACCTAGTTGACTGGAGATCCCAAGATCTAGGTTCAAAGGGACAACCGAGTTGTGAATGACTCAGAAGGATCACTGGGGAGTCTAACTCCTACCAATTTCTTTGATAAAATAGTGATGTCTGCAGCATTTGAGGTTAAGTAAAATTTTAATGATTCTTATATCTAGGTAAACCTAGTAGAGTATGGCAGGATACTCTTCATAAGAATCACCTGTGTGAGTGTGAACTGGGCCGGTTCTATAAGATTTGTGAAGGGCTACAAGTCTTTAGAGCACTCATGAAGACCAGGTTGTTCAGTGCCAAAATGAACACAATAGTGAGAACTAAACTGTGTTTGGGAATATACTGTGTGAGTTCTATTGTCTTGGTTTATTCAAACGGCTGAACAGTTCAAGACATCATGTTCACTGTTTAACTAGTAAATCCGATAGTGTCTCACAAGGGAAGGTTCAAAGTCAAAAGCTACTTATCCTTTGCAGAATATTACCAATTTCTTAACTCTCTGATTAGATCATGTTGTTGCATTTTCTCTCCGTCAAATTCCATTCATGTGGGGGATTGTTGGAAAAATGGTTTAATATAGGCATATTTTTTATTAGCTCAAGTTTGAGTGGGCACCGAATGTCTTTTGGGGTGGGTCCGAAGAGGTGATGTGTTCCTTGCCGCGTGGCAAGTCACACGGTGAAGACGGAACGTCAAAAACCATTTATGAGTGAATGAGAAGTTGATGTCGTTTTCGGGTTTAACATTAATTTTTAGATAAAATTCATTCGAATTTTTTAATAAAAAATTATTGTGGGAATTTAATTTAAATTCTAAATTTTGGGTTCCTAAGTGGTTTCCTAAAATTTGTACCTCTTACTTTATTTATTAAACTATTCAAATTGTTGGAAAAATGGTTTAATATAGGCATATTTTGTCAAAAACCATTTATGAGGGAATGAGAAGTTGACGTCGTTTTCGGGTTTAACATTAATTTTTAGATAAAATTCATTTGAATTTTTTAATAAAAAATTATTGTGGGAATTTAATTTAAATTCTAAATTTTGGGTTCCTAAGTGGTTTCCTAAAATTTGTACCTCTTACTTTATTTATTAAACTATTCAATTTGTTTAATATATATATTCAATAGTTTGATATATATATATATATATATTCAAAATAGTTTATATATTAAAGTTGTAACAGGTTGGGACAGTTCCACCAACGGTAAACAATTTGGAAAATTGTTTTATCTATTCAAATAGTTTATTACATTATTTCCTTACAGTTGCTTTGACTTTGTCTCCAACGGATTCTTTTTTGAATAAATTCGAATCAGTTGAATTCAAAACATGTGGCACCTGTTGACCATTGTTTGTACTGATTCGGACTATTCAATTTGTCTCTTTGTTGCCTATATATAGATTATATTCTAGCAATTTTGAAAAGAAAGAGACATCCGAAAATTCAGTCTGTTTATTTTGCATTTGCTGTCCAGAATTTATAACATTTGCATTATTCTTTATATTAGAGTTAGAATAAAATTTCAGAGAGTTAGAACACAGGTTTGATTCGCCGAACAAATTGTTTGAAGTGCTACTACAATTTGTGAAGATCATTGTATCCTGGAAGATAGACGCCACTCAACCGTAAGTACCGTAGCGGGGCAAATCCGTCTTAAGGACAGAGTGTCACACACTCGACTTGGTCTTAATTTTAATTCATTTCATTTCAATAAATAAATCTGGTATGTTATTTATTTATTTTGTTTGATTTTATTTCAAGTTATTTTATTTACACAGAAGATTGTTCCAACAGTATCACATCATATCAAAAATTCAACTTTTTAAATATTATTTCTAATTTTAAGTTTGACCATATCATATCAAAAATTTATTTATCAAAACCATCTATTTGCAATTGAGTGAACCACACCAGATGGATTCTCTTATCTTTTCTGCCTTAGGCACTCCTTTGAACTGGTGTAAAGATGAACCTAGTCAAAAACACAAAATTATTTGAAAAACCTTTCATCTTGTTTAGATACAAGGAATACAACACTGGCAAAGGAGAACAAGAGGGTGAAACCAAAAATTGATTTCATAGTTAATTTGTTGAGGCTTTGATTTGTTAAAACCAAAAATTGGCGTGTGATTTTGGGTTTTGTTAGTAGCATCCTTCTTATGTCATGGTCAAAAAAATTGGGTTTCTGTATTTGTTTTACTGTAAACTCATATTTTGATATGAACTGAAATTATTTTTTGTACTTTCTCTATATTTGTAGGAATAGGTTTATGTATGATGAATGTATCATTCAGAATTTTTGTATAACATTAGGCTTTCTAGGATATGTATATATGTTGATTTTAGTGAATATTTATCTCTTCTTTAATGGGTTGTTTAAAAAAACAGTTTTCATTGTTATTTTTATCCATTGTTTGATTTGTTCAATCTGTTTTCTATCCTTTCAAGAATAAGAAACAAGGACGTTGATAATAATGGTGAGTTTTGGTGAGATGATTTGGAGTCTTGGAGTGAGGAAAAAGAAGATAAAACAATTGAAACTTTGAAAAGAAGATGATGAATATGTATAAGTGATTAGGGTGTATCATGAAAAAAAAATTTAATTTAAGATTTAATATGTGTTTTCCTTATTAATAAATTTATATTAAAGTATAATAAAAATTAAAATTTCAAAATTTTACTTGAACGTAATTAATAATGTTTTGGGTGCAAATAAAATCACCCCGTCCTGTGGACTAAATATTTTTTCCAACCCTTAAAATATCGCTTGAACGGTCCATCACACTGATAGCTAGAGATGGCAATCAGAAATCGACCCGATGGGGACCTGATCCCCCGACTCTAAATTGAGCGGTTATTTTCCGAAATATATCCTCCGACGGGCCGGGGATGGTATTAAAAATTGAATCCCCGATGATATTTGGGCCGGGGACAGAAATACATGTTTCAGTCCCAGACTCAGCCCCGGCCCCGCTTGCCCCCACATGAAATTACTATTTTGCCCCTGTTTATATATATAATATATGTGTATGTGTGGGGTTTGGCAGCTGAACACTCACTCACTCACACACACAAATACGAAACTGTTTCACCTCTCTCTCTCTCTCTCTCTCTCTCTCTGCAGGTGCTCCTCACGGCGTCGGCGGTGGCGCTGACCTCTCCTGTCCTCTCCCTCCTCTCATCTCGCCGATCTCTGATCTCACCGATGGCGGTGGCGGCGGCTCCTCCGACGTCGTCTCCCTCCTCCCATCTCGCCGATGGCGATGGCGGTGGTTCCTCCGCTATCCTCTCCCTCCCCCCCGATCTCGCCGATGGCGGTGAAGCCTTTCCATCTCTCTGATTTTTCTTGATCTGTTGTACATGATCAGTTGTGTACAGAGATGTCCATCGCTATACAGAGATTTTTTGATATGTTGTGTATAATCTCTGTTTTCGTAAAAAATGTGATATCTTAGATCTGTTGTCCTCACTGATTTTTTCATCTGTTGTACATGATTTGTTGATCTGTTGTTGGTGTATGATGTTGTTGATCTGCCCTTTTTTTTTTCTTTTTTTTTTTTTTTTTTTTGGACCGGGGAATTTTCGGGGTCGGGGAAACCCCATCCCAGTTAGGGGACGGGGATGAGGGCGGTGATAGGTTCCCCGTTGGGAATCGGGGGCGAGGAAATTTTTGTCATCGGGGATCAGGAACGGAGAGTGTGATCCGGCCCGCCCCGCCCCGTTCTCATTCCTACTGATAGCCCCCCTTAGGTCTAAGTGACCTAATGAAAAACAATTCTTGGACTAAAAGAAACCCTATTATGGAAAGGTTTCTTTCTTGTTTCTTATTTCCTTTTTCTAATTTTTTTTCCATTCCTAATCAAAATAGGAAATAAACACATAATACTAAACCAGCCTAGGCTAGGACTACCATATTTCAAGTCTCACCAGACTATACTCTATATATACGATACTAGACATCATGCTTTGCCTTGGATCAAAATAGGGCCTCAAGTCAAAGCATCGTCAGTGTGTGTAGTGGCCATCCAATCAGTCACGACAACAAGCAGCAGAGAGCCACATCCGGTGTGTCCTCTCTCTCTCTCTCTCTCTCTCTATATATATATATATATATATCAGATTTTAATGGAAGAATAGTTGCCCTATTTGATGTGCCCTAAGGTAGATTGTGAATTTATGTGGATTTTTTATTATATAATCATACTTAATAGGAAGTAAAGTTTCGGATATGAAAAACAAAAGTAAAAACTAAAAGAAAAATCTGTCAATTCTCTGTCCATTGTTGTTGTATTATTGTTGTCAAATAGGATACCTACGGTTTGTCTTTTTTTATTTTTATGAATAGCATATCCTTCCGAAGATATACTTGAACACCTTTAAAAATAGGTAAAATAAATAAATAAATATAGTACTAAAAAATAAATATGTTGTTAGAATAAAAAACTAAATAATTTATAATTCTATAAATTATAGAAGCAAAGTTCTTTAAAATAAATATATATACTTATTACCATAAAATAAATATGCCAAAACGGTTGAGAAATAAAATAAAAAGTACTATTCTCATCTCAAAAATACTTTTTTTTTAATAAGTAAATGAAATTTTTTGACATTAATTTACATAAATTAATTTGAATAATTTTTTTTTTCCCAAAATTGTTAAAGAAATTTAAATATTTATGTAACATGCATATCTATATCGTAAGATATATTTAAAAGAGTATTGATAATAAAATCAATTTACCTTTGAAAGGAATCGAATCAAGATACTAACAAAACTCTTGTTTAGTATTAATCACTTGCCATTGAAGATCACAATACATTACTTCTAAATGACCTGAACTGGTGTAGATTTTCTATACCGTTCTCTTCTCTACGTTTTGATAAAAATGTTTTCTCAATTCATCCATTTTTGTTTTACTAACTGGTAACTAAAATTTCAATCAACATACCTATTCCCTATTAGTAGTTTCAATGGTAGTGTGATTCTTACCTAGCTGTGATATTTGCGTGTAGAACTTATTTTTTCCTCCCATTTTTTCTTCATTTTGGGAATGATTTTAACTTCACACTGAAAACCTCCTCATCCACAATAGTTTTGTTGACCCATTAATCTTCAAAATAAGATCTTACTAACAAGTGTTCTTAAGGTAAAAGTAAAAGACAAAATATTTGTTTAACGCAATATATTTTTCACTAATTTAAATTTATTTTTTTATTAAAATCAACACAATTTTCAATATTTTTATACGCTTTCAAGAAAAATTTTACACAGTTTCCAACATTAAACAATGCCTATGGAACACTTGTTACTATATGTCTTAAAATATCATTTCATTAATATTAAACATTGGTAAAAAATAAATTGGTACAACATTTGCATTTACTCCATTTAAAACATTCACCCCAACGGTTCAATAAAAAATAAAAGATTCCAGAGGTTAAAATAAATAAAGGCAATGAAGTGTCACACTCTCTTGAATCGCCATCACAATTGAATCACTGGAATAATTTTATATCACAATTTTCATATGTACTTGTAGTTTTTTCCCGTGAATTTGATTGAAAGTTGGATTTGTGAAGTATTTTAGGGCAAAATTCATTTTACTCCCTTATGATTTGAGTTCAGAACATTTCACCACCTTATGGTTCAAATATATGCCAAGAGACTCTTGGTGGTTTTGGACTAAATTGCAACCGTTACATTTTTCATCTAAATTGACGGAAGGTGTAACACACTTGCCAATTTTGAGAGTGGTCATCGTTTTTTCATGAAATTAAAGTGAAATAAAAATACAAGAAGTCATTTATCGGTGGTGCAGGTGCTACACGCACCGATTAGTATGCCAATTAGTGTAGCAATATATGTTATGACATTGTCATTTTAAAATTAAGACCCCATCCATTATACAAATTACAAAGACTATAACCTCTAAAATTATGCCACATCATTTGTTAGTATACTAATTAGTATACCAATTGGTGCATAGTATGATTCGTCATTTATACCCTATACGTTATAATGGCCTTCTGGTTGCAGCATAAAAGTCTAAACTTGACGTTTCAATGTTTGGTAACTCTTCATGTTCACCAGCAAATCATTAATCAAAACCTTAATTTATTTAACAAGCATGTTATGCTTTAAAATCTTTCAAACATTAGCTTTCTATCCAGTTGAGCTTATTAACCAATTTAATAAATGATATACTGCTTCAGAAACAAGCATTTAAATTTTTACTTCTATATCTATATATAATATGCTAGCAAGGTTATATCTAGTTGAAAGTGTTAGAAGTACTTTTCGAGTTAGATAATAAATTTTCATGGTTGCTTCTGTTATTGGCAGGAAGCTAAGGGGAGCTCATTTGAGAAATTTAAATAAATTGTAGTATCGGTGCCTAGATAGATGCCAATGGCAGTAACAAGATCTCATATTTCACTTCCTCCACCTCCTCTATCGTGTCCTTGGCTCGTCTTCAATCATGGAGAGCATGGAAAGTACTCCACTCAAACCTTCTTTAACACATCACAAGATACCTACGTCATGGGAACAATACCAGAGTTGTGCGACAAAATGATTGTTACATGTTCTCACGGATGGCTAGTATTGCTTGATCTTGAATCCGATGATTGTTTCTTGTTGAATCCAGTTTCGATGAAGAAGATTATGCTTCCACCATTACAATACTTTCCGTTCTTCTGTTGCATTCTATCATCACCCCCAACCGATCCCAACTGTGCACTCATTTTTGTCTGTCGACAAAAACCAAGTGCCATGTTTTGTCACCTGGGCGATGGTGAATGGACCAAACAACATTTAAGATCTGCTGAATATTTCAGATCTGCTACCGTATGTGGGGGAAAGATTTATGGCATTACTTTAGATGGAACTCTGCTTACGGTAGATGATGTTGGCTCTAATCTGGTTGTGACAGAATTGGGGTCAGAGAAGGCACCAAATCCATCAATTCCAGAGACATCAAAGTTGGATGAGAATTTAGTTGATTCGTGTGGAGAGTTGTTTATTGTAGTCAAGTCTTACCTAGGGATGACTATGAAGATAAGGGATATAGAAGTTTACAAAATGGATTTTTCAAGATTGTTATGGACAAAGGTGGACAGCTTAGGAGATCGAACATTCTTTCTCTGTATTGGCAATAGTTTCTCTTGTTCTGCAGCCGAATCAGGGATCAAACACAACTCTATCTACTATCTGGAGGGAAACGACCGGGACCTATTTGTATTTGATCTTGAAAATTATAGCATCTCATTCTCTACGCCTTGCCCACTTCAAAGTAATTGGCTGCAACCTAAATGGATTATGCCTATTTTATAAGCCTAGCAACAGATAATTTTGTTTATATATGTATTTTTCTTCTTTTACATCATACTGTACTTTGTTCTATCAATTATCATACTTTCTCATTTCATGTTTGCTGCTCATCATTGTTCAAATTTCTTTACCCTGGTGTGCCAACGGTAATGATAGCCTCTGAAATGCTGCTCCACCCACACTTCAAAAACTGACTTGGATTTGAAGGGATGTTGTTGAGCATGTCAATTTTGGCATGCTGATACTTGATGTTTTTCTTTTTTTGTTTTTGTTTTTGTTTTTGTTTTTTTGAATCAATCAAGTAGCAATTGTCAAATATTTAAATTTTAACAGTAAAGCCATTTGGCATATCGGCTGGAGCGCTAGAGAGCAAGAATGTCAAATTGACAAACGTCAATTTGCCATCCAAGCCTTCAAAACACATTGGCATATCCAAATTTGAAAGTTTGGGTGGTGATGCTCTTATGCATCAAAAGGATATTTTGAATGCAATGAACTCGCTCAGTTTTTCACGGCACTATTGTTATAGTTATAGAGGATGAGTGCTTTTGAATTTGATTTAGGCTCCGTTTTGTTTTGCTTAAATTTTTTGTTTTTATTTATTTTATTTTATTTTTAAAATCTAGTTTTGGTTATTTGGCTGATCAAAAGTAAGTAAAATATTTTAATCGTAAAGCGTAAAATGATCTACATTTAAAAAATTCGTAACTTCTTTTTTCCCCCTCATCACGATTGATACTATTCAAGATAAATATCAAGTTTCATGGTTGATACAACTCTGGTGGGAGGGTCAGCCTATGAAGAAAAATGAAAAAAAAGATTAGGAGAATTATTCCCCTTGCTACTTCGTGGTCCATATGAAAACTTAGGAATGACTGTGTATTTAGGGATGCCAAACATGTAACTTGGGATTTGTGTGAGCTTATAAAAATCGAAGTTACTTTATGGTTCAAAGCCTCTTGCAAAGATCTTCATTACTCTCTGAGTGATTTTGTTTTCAATCTTAATCATATTAGAGTATGTATTGGTAGAGGTTCAGATGGCCTTGATCTTTGGAGTGAGGTCTGCTGTGCTTATAAGTAAGGTGTGCTGCAGGATATTGTTGTTGATTGCAGGTTGGTGGTCTCCCGTGTTGGAAGGGTGTCTGAATGTCTTTGTTGTTTAAGCCTTAAGCCTTCCTTTGTTTGCTGCCCTGTTGCTGTTTGTGCTCTGGCTTTTGGGAATTCATAGTCATAAGCTAATATCACCCTTTTTTGGGAATTCATAGTCATAAGCTATGTTAAATGGACTAGAGAATGGGTGCTTATCTATCTAGAGGTTGGACTTATCAAACATCAAATTTAAGGATACACAGACTTGACAAAAAAATGGTTATTTTAAATTTTAATCTATTATGTGAGATAAAATAATGTTATATGTAATATATAAAGTTAAAGAGGCATTTTACTCATTTTCCATATATTATACAACAATATACACATATAATAATAGTGTTAAACACAAATATATAAGAAGTGTCCAATGAACAATATGGCACACATATCTCACATCTTTACCCCCAAGTGCCAGGTGTGTTATTTCATTTATTTTGAGTCCATATGAGATAGGTCATATAAGACACCAAATTTTATCTCACTTTTCACAAGCAAACATGATCTATATAGGATCATCGAATTGCTAATCTAATTTCATGACCTATGAAAAACAAAATCTATATAGAGCTCCAACTTACAGAAAGTCTTAGTCAGTATGCCACCATTGCCGCATAATTCCATACTCACAGTCCCAACTAAGTGCAGCTACAATAGTATTGAAGTATCTCCTTATGCATTGCTTACACATCTGCATGCAAAACTACAATTGAAACATCTATGTAGTATTGAGAAGAGAAGTCCGTCATGTCCACATACAATGAAATGCTAGATTTTTATAGACTATCTACCTTACAAAATAACTCTTATTAAATGCACATGCCACCAAATATGATTTAGGTTGTGTTTGGAGTACTGATTTAGATAGGAATTTAAAAAAGGAAACAGAAAAAGTGTCATTCACATTTCACTTATTTTTTCATTTTATCTTTATAAATTTTTACCAAAATCAATACCCCAAACACAATCTAAATATCCAGAAAATGAACTTATACCATCATTACTTGAACAACCAAACATGTATGGCTGCATGTGCACTTAATAAGATTTTAGTAAAATTATTTGTGTTCGTAACCTTATTTCATTTTTATATTACACAAGAAGGGGTCATTGCAAAGGCCAACGCCTACGTTACATTGAAACAGGAGCAGGTACATATTTACATATCAGATTCTATCAAATTTTAAATTTAAGGGTACATGAATTCAACAAAAAAGATCATAATTTTATGTTTTTAATTTAACATATTATGTGAGATAAAATGATGTTATATATAATATACAGTCAAAAAGACATTTTATAACAATAATACAACAAAAATGACGGTGTTAAATACAAAATATAAAAAGTATCTAATGAAAAATGTCAGACACATATCCTATACATTTATCCAAGTGTTAAGCATAAGACATGCGTATTTGATTTATTATGATGAATTCACGTAATATAGACCGAGGCATTGGTGGATGTGATGCTCTTTTATCAAGCGTGAGTTCGTGTCTTATTATTATGTTATGCAATTTTTCCTTTCTTATATTTCACATATCAATTGTAAACACCAAAAAGAAAATATATTATTTTTACAAAAATAAAAAAACATGGAATCATCATAAATCCAAATGACATAACAGTGACCTTTTTACAAACAGAAAGTATATTGATGTGTTTTTGGTTTTAAAGGGCGGTTTCACAGATTAAACACTTCATTTTGCATATATTTTCCTGTTTTGTCGCAACTTTCCAAAAAATAAACAGGGTCAAGCTACAAGACTCCATAGGACTCACTTTAGATTTTTGAGACTAGCCGAACTTTTAAAATAGGATTCTTTATACATAACCACAAAAAATAAAAATAAAAAAGTTACGTAAAATTATAATTACTCTTAAATTTTATTTTATTTTATTTTTGGTAACTACACAGTCTGTTTACATATACAAAAACTATAATTATATATTAAATTCAAATTTATACTATAAATATAAATAAATTAAGATACAAAAAATTGATTAGAAGAATTAAAAAAACAGAAGCAAATGTTAACAAGTGTTTCTGGTACATTATCTGATATCGAGATTGGTCAAAAAAGTACTTTGAAAATAGGTAAACAGGTATAAAAAAAAAAAAAAGGTTAAAAGAGCATTGAAATTAGTAAAAAATAAATAATTTAAAATAGATGTAACATATTTTAATTAGGTGTTTGGTTTGTGTTTGTAGAGTAATTTTTGAGATAAAAAGTACGAAAACTTGTTTGGTTTGCCTTTTTTCAAAAATGGTTTTGGAAAATTGTTTTGGGGAGAGAGTTTTAAAAAAAATGATTGATTTGATGCGTATGAGAGAGAAAGTGATTTTGAAAAGTAAGTAACCAAACAAAATTTTGAGATTTTTTTTGAAAAAATTTGTTTAATTTGATTACTCTTGAAAATTTGTTTGTAGAGAATTTTTCCCAAAAATTTTTCTGAAAAACAAACCAACCAAGGCCATTGTATTCTAGAAAAACATTGTTTCTTTTTCTAGTGTCTCTAATGTTGTGTTTGGTTGGAGGATTTGGAGAGAGATTTGGAAAGGAGAATTAAAAAGGTAAGTGAAATGTAAATAAAATAAAATATATTTTATTCCCATTTTACTATATTTTATTCACATTTCACCTACTTTTTCCATTTTTCTTTCCAAATCCATCCTCAAATCCTTCAATCAAATACAACATTTGGAACTCTAATTAGCAAAACCAATATAAAATCCAGTTTCATTGTTTCATAATTTAGCAAAATTTAGGTTACAACAAGAAAAAAAACAAATAAAATCTAAAACTACGAAACCAAATAAAAATTAAACCAATTACAGTAAAATATCACTTAATCATTAATCTTATAATATTTTTATCTGTAAAATAACTAATTAAATTTAGTTTAAACATTACTCTTATAATATTTTTATCTATAAAATAACTAATTAAATTTAGTTAATCTAATGCATCTACTATACCCTATTTAATAGATAACATAGCAAATATTTAATAGATAACATAGCAAATGTATTCAAACTTTTCTAGTAACATGGTTGATTCAAGATAAAATTGCACACTTGAATAAGTTAAATTAGGCCCTCATTAGACCTTAAATCTGTTAAAATTTAGAACTCCTAGGCAGAATAAAAAGTAGAATACCTCCATCAATTACCTTAAAATCCCCTATTATGTTTCATTAAGACAATCTATATTAAACAAAAGAGAGAACATAGGTTCAATGTAGGGAAGGTAAAAGAAAATGAAAAACATAGGAAGCACAATTCAAAGAAAACAAATATTGATAATTTTCAAACCCATTGGAACCTAAAAAACCGAAAACATAATATATATATACATATAAAAAGATTTTATTTGTTTGGCTCTTATATCCTTAATCGTTTTTTTTTTCTTTGTGGTTAATTTCTTTTACCAATCAGAATATTTTCTGTTCAAATATACGGATCTAGATCAGATCGATGAAATTCAAAGTACTACTAAAAAAAATAAAAAAATTTCTCAGAATAACATCTAAAAATCAATTCTTTTATATCTTTATTAGGATCTGAAAGATTTGATTTTTACTCTAATAGAATGATAAAAATAAATAAATAAAGTCATGTTCTAATGATTATGTGTTAATGATCAACGAAATTTACAAACAAAACAATATATATATCATACCTTGTAAGTCAGATCTTGTAGTGACCCTCATTAGTCACCTTAGCCTCGGGCATGAGCATTTGTATAATCTTGTGCTTGGTTTCTTTTTTTCTTCTTTTTCTTTTTTTTTTTTTTTTTTTGATCTACAGGATGAGGCCGTCGATCCATGAATGTGCCGACGGCAGCGGTAATAAAGAAATGGTGGTGGCGGCGGCAGGCTACTGTGAGGGACGATGAAGGGTGGTCGGCGCTTCTGTGAGAACGAAACTGAAGGTCGCCGGGCTGCTGGGTG